GTCTACAAAACGCCCATCTCTGTCTCCTGAACACATACATCCAGTCTGCTTTTCACTTTCACAATAGTATTCAATAAATTGCATAAGATAGTCAACATTTTATTACAAAATGAGCTTTGTTTTGGGCAATTTTGCCCAGATATAGGCTAACATAAATATTCTGAGCACATCTGAGGTAGGCAAGGAGGAGCTATGCTGCTGGGTAAGTTAGGTGCGCTAAATGCACTTTTGACTTATGATATATTAATTTATGATGGCTTTATTGGGATATAATTACAACCTAATTCTAGAGCACCTGTAGTCATATCAAATCACAGTTAAATCTGTGAGTCTAGAGTTAAGAAATGGAGATAGAAATCTGTGAACCATAAAAGTATATTTAGAGCCATACGACTATAGAAGATCACCTAGGGAGAAAAAAGAGATATTTAGAATTATACCTTAGGCTAGAGAGACACAAGATGTCATGGAACAGGGGACCAGCAAAGGAAACTATGGAAGACTTATTAACAAGGAAGGAAAGAAACAAGAAAAAGTAGTGTACCAAGACGAAGGGAAGAAAGTGCTGCAAAAATGTGGCCCACTCACATTCTCCACACATCGCCTTACTCAGTCTATCCCACTCATCCTTCAGAACAGGACACTTTCGTGATAAACCCTTTCTAAGCACTCCTGCCTCAGAAAGATCATCCTCTATTACATCCCTAAATCACAGCGTAGGCCTCAATAATTATCAAAATTATGTCTGCAGCTGCATCTTCGTTGCTCTGCTCTTCTTCCCAGCCCTACTCCTGCTCAAAAATGTGAGTCCTTGAGGGCCAGAAGTTTCCAACAGAATTGCTGGAATCTAATAATATATCACACAAACAGGAAGGAGGAAGTTAGACTTATTGAGATCCTGCTGCATATTAGGCAATAAGTCAATATTCTTTATGATGGTTATCTTAGTGCTCAAAAATGTGGATAAAAGAATGAAGGAAGGGCTGATTGAAGAGTAGCAATAGCACACATGATAGATACATGGATAAGGGCAATTCAGACACAGGTAGAGCCCTGCAGGAAGATGAATGCAATAGGGTACCACAGTTTCATGTCAATCACTTTCAAAATTATTCAGCTGCTTCTTTCTAAATTCATCAAGCAAAATTCTCCAATATCATTTTGTTTCCTTTACAGATTCTCCTATGGATTTAGAAAGTGACAACTAGTAGATATAAGTATCTGTTCCAACTGGCTGCTGTATTTCTCATTATGTGTGAATAAATTAAATGTCTATTTTAGACATTAGTCTAACGTAAATTTGGTTAGTGTGTTTCATTTTAGATTTCTAGTGATGATCAGTCTCCTTATTTACTGTTTTTTGTTTTTGATCATTAAAGTGACAAAACTAAGTTATGGGAACAACAAAATGGGACTGACTCAGGCAATTAAAAGAGATGGTGATATAAGAAATTTAAGATTCATTTCATATTGTGCGTTTGACTGCTATAGGAAAATATTGATTTCCATTTTTTACCTCTTGTTGACACACAATAGTGGTCACAGTCATGATTCTTCTATAATGGGTTGGGGGAGCAGTTGATATGCAATGAGCTTTACCGAAAAAAAAAAAAAAGGTATTTCACTGTTGCCTCAAATTTGATCCATTTTTTTCCTGAGTTTATTCTGTAAGTTGAAATATAGAATTCTATCTAGAACCAGATGAACACATTCCAAATTTAAGTCCATCATTTGTCAGTATAGTCAATCTTGCTAAACTGGATCAGTTTGTGATGTTTTGACAAAAGGAGGTTTATATCCCTTTGAAGAATATCATTTGAACTCTGCTGACACAGCTGAGAACATTTTGCTTTTATGTTGCTAACTGATGTGTATGTGGTTTCCCTCTGGGGTGCCCACACCCTCTCTTTCTAAATTCTAGACAAAAAAAAAAATTGGATGAAATGATTTGTGTCAGTGACGTAAGGTAGATAACAACTTTGTCACAGTTTTCAATTTTTAAAGTATGTTGAACATGAATACTTCCTCTCTTTTCATTGATATCAGGGTGATGGGAATTCACAAATATGTAGCTTCTTGTTGCTATCTCATCTATCACACTCTATAAATCAAGGATTATATAGATTTTGTATTTTTATGTCCTACCTATCTTTGAAATATAAATCCTCTTCATGGCTACCATGACAACCCTAGTTTAGGACTTCCTCTACCAAGACTAGTGAAATAACTGTCACAACAGAGGCAATCTAATAGTTTTCACATCCATCATCCACAGAGTATTGGGTATAATCTATGGAAAGTACAAAGTAAGTCAGTGCTATTTTTGTTTAGAAATCTAGTAATTGTTCCCTCCCTCCCTCCCTTCCTTATTTTTTGCCTTTGTGTCAACAAAGATTGAACCTTGCGGTGTACTACCACTGAGCACATCACCAATCATTTTTATTTTGAAACAAGGTCTCACTGAATTATGGAGGTTGGCCTCAAATTTGCAGTTCTCCTGCCTCAGCCTCTGACTGTTTGCCAGCTGTGTGCCACCACATCTAGCTAAATATTGTTTCTTAATTGCCTGTAAAATAACAGCAAAGACTCACACCACCAGTACACTCTGAGACCCTGGAAAGACAGCCCTTGCCGGGGCCTCATACTTTTGAGGAGGCAGGGAGAACCACTGAGTGGGAGCCAGAGGCTTGCCATACATGGCCATGTTCAGGAGCAGAACTTGGGAGATTCTGAGAATTCTAAATTCAGATTGTGTCTTCAGTCAATATAAAGTTATGTTGTGTTAGATCAGGATATATTTCATCTTTTCAAGCTTTATTTATAATATTTAGACATACCATACATGTGATATGTGAGCATCAATTCAGACTCCTACTCTGAATCTACAGATTTCAGGCCCATTTGGGTTTCTATTTGAGGCCTTTCATGCCACAGTCCTGCCCAACTCTTCAGTTCATCACCAACTGCTAGCCATCCACCCTGTACCTATGGTACATTAACCCTGAAGTCTTTGTACCATGCTTCCACACCATGATATGTAACATCTTCAGTTTCCATTCATACTGTTGTCTCTGATTGAAATAGCCTTCACAACTTTTCTAGCTAATTCATTAATCTCTTATTACACATTTTGTAAATCATCACCCACAATCTAAAAAAATTCCTGACTTTACATATTCAATTTCCTCACTGTAGATTGTACAAACTTCATTCTTATGGTTACCTTATTATGATGTAGCTATTTGTTTATGTGTCATAACAAAACAAAAACAACCCTGTCAACCTCTTGAGGGTAACATTTATCTTGTTTTTCAAATTATTATACTCTAAGAAATACATTTTAAACAAATATATGCTAACACAACAAGTATGATTAAAAATGCATGTTATTTCATATTTCATTCAACTTATAATGACAAATGCCTTGAAAATATCATTTACTACAATTGAACAGCTAAGTAACCTTAACTTATATAATGAAAATTTTGTTAATTGTATAAAAGACTGTCATCTTTGCCAAAGCCAATCCAAGGTTTTAAGAAGTCATTTTCCTTCTATAATGCAATGTATATCAAATAATTAGGACAATGATATTATACTGTAAGATGCTGTGAAAATTGAAGCTTTAAATTTTGCATAAAATTTTCATGCTTTATTTTACCCTACAAAGAAAAATATCAATGGCAGTTCTAATGGCCACCTTTTATAATTTACATAAGACTAATAATTTTAAAAAATCAAAACTGATATGTTTTAAACTGTATTTAATTCATAAAAATATCTTTTAGAAAATAAAGTAAGCTACATTTTCAGATTTTAAGTGTGATTGTTTAGTCTATGATTCTTTAAATATTCAGAAAAAAAAGTATGCTTTTCAATGGCCATTTTATTTGAAACCCTAGAAAATCGTTCATTTATTATGTCACACAATTTATATAATCTAGTTTTCTTCCAGCTCTAATTATTGGTTGCAATTATAGTGGGATCCGAGTCAACCCTAGTTCCTAAACTATTGTAGTGATGGAAGCAAGGTATTGGCATTCTCAATTACTCTTGAAGTATCTTGCTTAGAGCAAAAACAGAAGTTTCCAACAATGTAAATTTCCTTAAGCTGAATGTTTCAACATTAATTTTACCTACCACTGAGGCACTGAACTGTCTTGTGCTTTTTGTACTACATCTCTTCCCTTTACAGTTCTCCTGTTTGGTTTGATACCTTCAAACTCTTTTAGTCATTTTTTTTCCATACAAGCTTACAGTCTCCATCTCTGTTGGGTCTTCATATATGAAAACCACTCATATGAGGAAGAAACTGATATAGCCCTTAGTCACGTGTCTGACTGTGGAAACTACTTGTCATCTAGACTTTTTCTAAGGATAGCATCATCTTGAAAAAGCATAACCCATTTCACTGTTAGAATTTGCCAATCCCTCTGTATTACCTTGGTCTGTATATATTATGCTCATTAGTTGCTTTCCCAGGAGGCACTTTAACAGAACTAAATCCTAGGCATAGCCTTTTACTCTACAACCTATCCAATCCCAGCTTCCTAACACAACTCTGTTAACCTCTGGACCTTGGGTCTTTTCTTGACCTGTTTGTGAACATATGCTTCTTTGTTTTTTTACACAAAATGAAAACCAGGAGACTAGAGAACATTTATTAAGCACATTTCAGATTTATGAATTATATTAGTAATAGGAAAAGAGAACCAGTTCTTTGAAACATCTAATAGGATACGGCCTGAATGCCTGAGTTTCTGGATAAACTGAGAATGTAGCTCAGTAAGCAGAGTGTTTGCCTAGCATGTGGGAGCCCTGAGTTCAATCCTCACAATTTAATAAAAAAAAAAAAATTAAAAAGAAAAAGAGTTTATGGACAGAATTACCATAAAAGTGGAGATATACTGAAGTGAGACGGGCTCATATACTTAGGATTTTTTATAGTTAGAAAACTTATTGCATGCTAAAGGATTTGTGTTGCAAGACATATATCTTACCTTAACTTCCACATGTGCCATAAGTACTGCAAAATTGGTTAGGTGGTTACAAGAACAAGTAGTATGTGTCTTGTTTGTTGTCAGGAGCCGACAGCCTTGAGTTGACCAATAACCTGTCATTGTGCGCTTGGAGTAGCTCCAAAATGAACAGTTAGGGTTGAAATTTTCCTCTGACTGCTATGGCAAAAAAAAAAAAAAAGTCAATAAAGGTAATAATTACTTTATGATCATAAAAATTAGGTAAGCATTTTATTCATATATTACACAATATCATACTCTGTTCCAATTCTTGTGGTGATATCAACCAATGTTTTCATATGAAGTGGGACTCATCAGTTCTAAGAAAAATTGAATGTCTGAGATTTATTCTATCTTATTAGAGGTTAAATGTTCTTTAAATGATTATTATTAAGAATATTAATATCAATGTTTCTGAATCATATCAATTAATGTCAATTTCATAGTAAAGAAGTAAATTGATAGGAACAATAAACTTCTGAAAGGATGCTCTTTAGAAATATTTGTTGAATTTACAACTACAATATTTTTTTATATACACAAAACTATCTTCACACAAAGACATAATTACTTACAACATCATAGCACTCTACAGTTTCTTTTAATGTATGGATAGCTCATTTAAAAAAAAAGAAATTTTATATTGTACATTTAGGGTATACAATATGATATTATTGAATTCATATATATAGTAAAAAGATTACTATTGTAGAAAAGACAAAAACATATCCATCATCTTACAGTAATGTTATTTTCTGTTTTTCTCGCAAGAATAGCTATGATCTACTTATTCTCCCCCCCACAAAAAAAGAGCACTACCATATCTTGCTGATAATGAACTGCAATATGTTAAATAATAGAAAGATATTAATAGAAAATTAATTTAATATTCAAGTTATATTGAACATGGATAATGTGGACAACTAATCTTAACATTCTTACCTTGATATGTTTAACAGTAAACACCACAGGATCAGCCAAATAAACCTTATTACTGAACTCTTTGTTTATTGCTGCTGTAATAACAGGTGAATTGACAATAACGGAATGATTTGTAGACATAGCTTCTGTACCCAACTTCATACTGGCATTCTCCGTGGACAAATAAGGACCCAAGTTGTTATAAAGGACAAAGGCCACTCTGATCTCTCCTGAAGTAAATGGAAATGTGTACATGTTGGGAAAAAACACTGATCAGTTTGTACATTGTATTTAAATTAATTCTAAGTAGACACCAATCAAATCTTTACAAACAATTTAAAAAATCAAGCATTTATTTGCTTGGCACCAAAATTCCAAATCATTCGTGAGAAAAGGAAAGTCAAATTCTACTCAAATAACTACATATCAGTATTTAAAAAATGAACTCAATCCTATTTTACTCCATATTCAAAAGTGAATTTTAGATGGATTATAGACCTAAGCATAAAAGCATAACCATAAAGCCTCTAAAACAAAATATAGGATGATACATTTTAACTTTGAGAAAGGGAATATGACTTAGATTGGATTCAAAAATGACAAAAACCACAAAATGGTAAACGGAACTGTATCAAATTCTAAAATTTGAATCTATCAAAACATATCAAGAAAATGAGAAGCAAAGCACAAATGAGGGAAAAATACAGGACTCATGTAAATATAAAGTATTTCTGCTAGTCAACAATTAAATAATAAAGAACATTTTAAAATGGAAAAAGTCATAAATAAATTCTTAAAAATATAAGTGAAAGACAAGGATACACATGAAAAATGATCTGTGTCATTGGTAATTAGGGAAATAGAAATTAAAATTTTGAGGTAGCATTTCTTTCCAACTAGAATTTTTAATAGAGATTCACCACAATAATGTTAGTAAGGATGTGGAGCAATTGGAACTCTTGTACATTTTTGCTGGGTGTGTTAAAATGTTTGACTACTAAGAAAAATGACAATTTCTTGTAAAGGTCAATATATATATCCTCTTCCTATTAAGTGAAAGCATATATCCACAAAGAAGAAAATTTGTATAAGAAAACTTTAATACAGAATTATTATTCATAAGAGCCCCATATGATAATAGAATCTACTATGCATCAATAATGAACAAACTAAAAGAGTCAGGCGCGGTAGCACATGCCTGTAATACTAGCAGCTCGGGAGGCTGAGGCAGAGGATCTTGGGTTCAAAGCCAGTCTCAGCAAAAAGCAAGGCGCTAAGCAACTCAGTGAGACCCTGCTTCTAAATAAAATACAAAACCGGCTGCGGATGTGGCTCAGTGGTTGAATGTTCCTGAGTTCAATCCCCAGTACTACCCCCGACAAAAAGAACAAACTATAAGTAGGTAGGACATAATGACAAAAATGTCAAAAATATCTTATTGAGTTACAGAATCCAGAGAGAAAAAAAGTATATATGTATAAAATATGTGATTATATGAAATCTAAGAATAGGACAGTTTTGTCTGTAAAATAATAATGAGAAGAAAGGTTTATTAGGTAGGCACAGAAAATAAAAAGAGTGGTAAGAAACACCAGGGAATATTTTGGGTAATAGAAAAAATTTTATTTTCTGTTTTATGTGATTTTACAGAGTTATATAAGATGGTCAAATTCCTTAAGCTAAACACTTAAAGTTTGTGTATTTTATTACATGCTAATTTGCTATTTATATCTTAATTGCAATTTTTTTTAAAGGATACCAAAACTTCACCTATACTTTTAGGTATCATTTCCTTGGGTGGGGAAAAGGGGCAGGGACTCAAGTCCTGTGTGTTACTTCCAGTATACAGGCATACCAGTTCACCAAGAGACAGGCACTGTCCAACCACTGTGGCTACAGAGATAAGGAAATCATAGTCCCCATTTATGAAACTTTGAGTTAAGTAGAGAAAGAGAGAATTCAGTTGAATGGAATGATAGACCAAAAAAAAAAAAAAAAAAAAAACCTCTATAATATAAAATGGGGTGGCTGTCTAACATCTAATCTGTACTCCCATGTTTGAGAAATGTGTTATGCTTAGGGAGTTATAGACGCAAAATTTACATATATTTGCCTTCCTGTCTTGCCATGCAAAGAGGTTATTCTGGGTACCTCTCAGCTAGATGCATCTAAACAGATGCTGTATTCTCATTCTGTAGATGAAGAGCTAGTGACACAAAAAGCAGGAGGAAGAGCAGAAATAGCAGCAACAGCAGCAGCAGCAGTGCTGTTACTGTACCCCAAATGTGGCAGCAGAGACATCTCAGAGTAGATTCTGTGCTGTGGTACAGGCTGCTGTCAGCCTGTTTTCAGAGACATATATCACGGGACTCTTTTTCCTTTCAATAACCCAGCAAAGAGATTATAATGAGAGCTACACAAGGAAGGAGATCTTATTTAATCTTTATCTGTCAACATAGTACTATATAAATACTAGTAATTCACTAAGAATTTGCTGTCTCTTACAACAGAATAATTTTAGTTCTTTCCCTTTAGATTTTATAAGTGCTGATTTTTGAAAGGCAAAAGCTTAATATTATAAATTTTTATTTTAATTGTCTTATGATCAATTGATAATTCATCCCAATTTTCACTTATGGTTTGATGTCCAATTACCATTGCATCTTATTATGACTACTGCAGGCATATTTCAGTCCTCATTTGCTTTGTGTCTGAAGGTTCACACATTTATTCAATGTGTCCTTGGTGAGTACACTGAAGTGCCAGGCATGGTTTAAAGCAGTAGGATTATATCAGTAATAAGAATAAATGAAGTCCCTGTTCTCATGGAGTTTACTGCCTAGAGGGAGAGTCAGACATTAAGTAGGCAGTAAAAAAATAATATTAATACTAATATAATTTCTTATAATGGCAAAAGAACAAATGCTATGGAGAAGCATTGGCATAAACATGGCTAATGGGAAAAGAGTGATTGAGAAAGAGTGATCTACCTTAGAGGACATGAGGAGGATTTTCCCTAAAGAGGTAAGTTTTTTTTTTTTTTTTTTTAAGAAGTGAATGATGGAGAGGCTGCTATCACACACAAAAAATTACATTTTAAGAAGAAAGAAAAGAACCTGCACAAAAACCTGATGTAGGAGCCTGAGCAGTATGTGTGAGAAACAGAAATAAGACTGGGTTTACTTGGATCACAGAGGGTATGCTAAGATAGGCATGAGCTGGGACAAATGAGGTAGGGAAGAAGTGGACCAAGAAGCATGTGGCGGGTCCAGTAAAGTCATGTGATTTCATTCTAAGTGTTACCCAAGATGAACCGGTCAGATTTCTGTTTCTGGAAGGACCCCTTCTCAACAGAAAATGATTATCGAGGACAGGAGCAAAAGCAGAGAAAACAGTTACAGGATAACTCAGGAATTACTCAGGAATTATACTTGATTGTGTACAATCTTATTGTCGCTTCAAAAAAATGTCTTTAGTCCAATGAGCAACATAATAGTTATTAGTTCGGTCTTGTAAGACTTCTAGCACTTATAAAGCATTTTATTCTGATGACAACAAATATAATTTTTCTTGATAATGTTTAACATGATCTATTTTTTAAAAACCATTCACCCCGCAATATGTTGCTATAGCCTAAAGTCACCCTTCCCCCTACCCCGTTATATCACAGGTTAAAAGATTTCCCTGTCTTAGCAAAAACATGATTTTAAAATTTTAAGATTGGTGAAATTCGGGATGTACTTTCTCTATGAAATTACTTATTTATTGAATTTTAATTTTTTTCAGTGAATTCAATCTAGCAGTAAGCTAGGCTGACCTATATATACCAGTTCCATTGCTCCTAAGTTATCTCTTTACATTTAAATTTTCTGTATGCTTTGCAAAGAAAAAGTACAGAAATTCTCAAAAAGATATTGAATAAAAAATATGTACGTTAAAAATTACAAGTAAAATTAAATGAAAAATTTTACAAAGATAAATCTGTTGAAGAATAATCAGATAATTTGGGTTTTGGGGTTCAAAATTTTCCTCATATTCAAGTTTCTCACAACTGAAAAGCAATGGAAGAATTTCCAAATCTGACAAGAGAATTCTGCAGAATAAATAGTGTTGTCATACTGATGGTACAGTAGATAAGAAGAAGAAGAAAAGCAGGAGAATGAGAAAGTTATAAGGAGAGAGAGATGTCTCAGATAGTGGATCTTATATTCCAAGCCAAGAAGCAATGAATTGATGCAAGTTCAATACTATTAAGCATAAAAAAAATAATAAACTCTAATTTACCATTGCGGCCATTCTGCTTTAAAGTATTTGCAGAAAGCTGGATAGTGCTTCCATGGGCCATATTTTCTGGAAATTTTAGGTCTTCTAAGTTTCCTTCTGTGCTCAGCCTTGCAACTTCTAGTTCTGTTAATAACAAAGAGATATCCAACATACATTGAGAAACATGCCAAAGTTACAAGAATATTGCTGCAATCAAAACACTGGAGTTCTTGTTCTATTTGTCATGTTAAAGAAGTTCAATCTTTAAGAAAATATATTATTAGTAATTTCATTTTTTCAAAATAAAGCAAATAAAAACTTGAAAAATCATATAAATATTACAAATGTATCCATAATATATTAGTCTAAATTTTAAAATTCAAACCTAAATCTTATTACTTTGTCATTGGCCTTTGGTTAATTTTCAAAATACTATCTTTGCTTTATGAATTAAATAAAAATCCTCATATTGGAACTATCATGTCAAATCATTATTGATCTCTCTTTAAAATTAATAAATATAAAACAGATTTATCAAATGTCCTGATATAAAATCATTAGTTATATATGAAACCACAATAAAAACAGATGTACTCTTTATAAACCAGATAATATAATTATCAGTTTATCATCTTTAATTACATAACTTTTTACAGTATGTAATTCACATGTAGAAATGACCTATACTTGTGCATTAGGAGAAAAAATACTACATATTACAAAACATGCATAGATAAATACATATGTAAAAATTCTGAAAATGAACAGACCTCACTGTAAGCCATCCTAGAATGATATATACCATATATCCCATATTAGAATGTCCTAAGAGTTTAACATACAGGACTTTCAACCTGATTAAGCTGAAAGGTTGACACTCTTTTCATCTGGGTGAAAGATGAAATAAAGTGTCATTTATATCTGGGGTGCCTGGTATACTTTTTTCTCTTCCCTTTCCTGTTATACAAGGGTCTCTGGACCTTCTGTATAACAAAGGCCACTTACGAATATTGTCTGTGTTCTCCCTGACAATGTCAGTCTTCAAAAGGTTATCAGCCAGCACAAAGGCACTCTCCTCCACGGTGTCAAGCAGCATGGTGGCTGCACGTAGTTGATCACTTGTAGTCAGGTCTCTCCAAGCATTCAAAGCTTGTGGCTGAAGGAGGTTGTTAACTGTCTCGACCATTGCCTATGAGAGGAGGGACAGAATAACAGAGGTCTCTAGTGAACCCACATAGCTGTCAGAAATCCAGGTGAACATGCTGCCCAGCAAGCAAGGATCAGCGGTGCGCATGAGCTCACTATTGTCCCAGCCTCCCCTGTGACATGCTGCAGCAGAAGCATTCATTATTATTATTTTTTTTCTGTAAAACCCTCTCTGAGACTGTGCAAGACAAGAGAAAAACCTGTTTCTTACTTTGAAGGACAACAAATAGAGTCATACTTGCTCCACAAAATCAACATCACAGGTTTCAATAACACTGTGATCACATAATTAAATGATATGGCTGGGGGAACTGTTTATAAGTAATTCAAACAAATAATTTTTTTCCCTAAAGATCACCATAAAACTGGAGACTGACCACAACTGAGATGGAAAGGATGACTATAGACATGACAGTATAGGAATTCCTTCCTAGAGGTTAAAGACTCACAGAACAAACACCTTTCTTTTCTTCTTTCTTTCTTTCTTTTTTTTTTTCATTAGTCAGCTAGTAAAATGTCAGAATGGAGAAAATATCAAAACATACATAATCCCAGGGTTATGGATGTATGGAGAGAAATCTTCTTCATGCTGTTTACTATTAGGGAGGGGAATAAACAGTTTGATTTCACTATACCAATGGACCTCAGGTGTTTTTTGTTTTTCATTTTAATCAGCAGTGGGTTCATCCATATGGAAAGACAAGCACCACATTTCTCCTTGCTTCATCCAAAAGAATCATCTCTATAGTTAAAACTTACATATATCCTGTGATTGCTTTATGCTGTCGGTTACAAAGAAAACACAGTTCTCCCAATAAGGTCCTGAATTTCATTCAAACCCAGAGATTTGCAAAATAGAAAAATATAACACCTGCAGTTTGAAAGTGATCATCTCTGAACCTATTCACTATAAAATATGCCGCTAATCCAGAAATAAAGTTAAATAAACAGCCAACACAGACATAGTTTCTAGGCTGCATGTAAGTGTTTTAAAACGGGACTCACGTTATTGACACCTTGGCAGAGGGATTGGGCGAGATGGAGACATATCCTTTACACTGCAGAGTTTTCTTCTGGCTGCTGTTTTCATAGTAACCAAGTAACAACTGTTAAAAATTCAGCTTCATAATGAAACACCTAGTCTGCCAATTAACACCCGCTTCAAAAACTAATTTGCCTTTTGATAAAAGTCGTTTTTCTTGATATTTTCCCAGCTACTCCAAGTCCTGGCCCCAAATCAACATTATTGGACTTTTGAGTCAAAGAGTCTGAATCACAACTTGAAGACTTTGCATCACACTAACAAACCAAAAACATCCGTCATTTATTCAAAGACTGAACACTTTCACATAGTGTGCTTAGCTCTGTCATTTGTTCTGGGTTTAAAGTATGACCTAGTAATCAAACAAAAGTATTTCTGGATCAAAGCAAAACTATCTGCTTTCCAGGAAATTCTCTCGTAGGGGTAAGGCCAAACAGGATATGCCAAAAAAGAGATGCCAGATAGAAAAATCTCTCTCTCTCTCTACACACACACACACACACACACACACACACACACACACACTCTTAGATGCTTTCTGAAGCCATAACCCTCTTGAGTGCAAAGAAGTATTTTTTATGTCATCAAATGATTCTCTGAATTCATTTGCAATGCTCTGAACCTCCCCCCGGCCCCATGCAACAAGAATTATGTCTTTTTTTTAAAAATGGACAGCTATTTAAGCTGCTAATAATCTTTTTTTTTTTTTTTAACTGGGGATTGAACTCAGGGGCACTCGACAACTGAGCCACATCCCCAGCGCTATTTTGTTTTTATTTAGAGACAGGGTCTCACTGAGTTGCTTAGTGCCTTGCTTTTTGCTGAGGGTGGCTTTGAATTCCTGATCCTCTTGCCTCAGCCTCCAGAGTCACTGGGATTACAGGCATGTGCCACTGCACCCGGCTAATAATCTTTGTGATTATTAAGTATTCTTCCATTTATTAATTGAAATCTTAAATCAGGGAGTTTCATTGAGGATAAGCATTTCTGTTCTGCCCTTTCTTGTTTTTATTTAGTTTATAAATGGTGAAATGAGAAAAAAAGGAAAATAAAAAATATGGTCAACTTCAACAGTGTTCTCCAACAATGTTCTAAATAATTTGTTCCAAGATGAAATGATGAAACAAAGAAAGTCTTAATGGACTAGCATGGAGATTGAACCAGCAATCAAAAACTTCTCAAAAAGCCCAGGAACTGATGGCTTCACTGGTGAATTACAGAAAACATTTAAAGGAGAATTATCACCAATTCTTCTCAAACTCGCCTGAAAACTTGAAGACGAGGAAACACTGCAAAATACATTTTATGAGGATAGCATTACTACCTTGATACAAAAGCCAAAGACACCTCCAAAAAGAAAACTACAGGCCATATGAAGAATATAGATGCATAATTCCTCAATGAAATACCAGCAAATCAAACCTAACAGCGTATTGAAAGGATCATACAATTATTAGCACACATGATTATCTCTGGGATTAAACGATATAGTTTAACATTTAAAATGATATAGTTAACATAAAATAATATAGTTCAATATTTAAAAAATCAATAAATGTGATATGCTATGTTAGCAGAATAGAATATGTCACACAATTGTTTCAAAAGATGAGTAAAAAAATTCTGACAAAATTCAGCACTTTTTCATGAGAAAAACAACAAACAAGGAATAAAAGAAACCTACTTAACTATAGTAAAAGCCATATATGAAAAGCCCTTAGTGAACATCATTGTCAACCATGAAAATGTGAGAGCTTTTCCTTTAAGATCAGGAACCAGGCAAGCATGCCATGCCCACTTTTACCACTTCCAGGCATCACAGTACTTGAGGTATTATGTTGGTCAACAAATAGGAAATAAGAGCTCTCCAAATTGGAAGTGAGGAAGTGAAATCATCTCTGTAGATGACATGATTTCTATATGGGAAACTCAAAAGCTTCCATTAAAAAAAAAAAAAAAAGACAAACAACAAAAATAAAGTACAACCTGTAAGAACTCAGGAACTTGTTTAAAACAGGCTGCTTTATCTTGAAAAAACAAAAACAAATAAATTGTGCCTGTCAACTGATACCAATGAATCAAATGCACCAACTTATTAACGTATCTAAGCTTCACAAAGCTATTACTTATCTTAGTTTTGCAGCTGAAGAAGTATAAGGTCCATACTTAAAAAAAAAAATCTGAATACATTCTCAACAATTACATCCTCCCCAATAAAGCACTGTTTGTAAGAAAGCTTTCAATAAAATTTATATTAAAGGTTAAATAATTTCCAACACACATTAAAATGTAGACACAACATTAAAATGTAGACACAACATTAAAATGTAGTCTAACATCTAAGATTTAATGGGTATTGAGATAACTTGAAGGTTCATTTAGCCTTCTTAAAAAACACCTAGCCATGATTGTTTAAATATAATTGCAAGGATGTGTTAGCACAAAAATTAATAGCTGCAATCAGAGTGTGGGATTTAGAAATGCATCCATAGAAGTTGTCCTTAGACTCTACTTCTTGTCCAGCTATGTGATATTGGGCAAGTTACTTAACTTCTCTGTACTTCATCTATAATACAGTGATAAGACAATCAATGTAAAAGGGTGCCTGGCTTATATAAGTGCTCAAGATGCAGTCTTATTTTTACTTTCACTTGACATCATAGTCCAGTGCGGCATCTTCACAGGTGTCATTACTAAATAAGCACAAATCATATCTGATAATCTAACAGTGATATTTGTAAAGAACTACTCTTGTACAATGCAGTCTTCAAATTTGACCCCTGACACAGCTTAATTACCAAAGTTATTACATAGCTGAAGTTTTGAGAACAGAAGAGTAGAGGCTTGAACTAACTGAGGGTCCATCTTAATTCTCTAATGAATACAAATGCCTTAAGCTTTCTAAAAATGGCTGGTGTGTCTCTGTTGCCCATTAAATAAAAGTCTAATTGACTTTAATTAATACTCACAGCTCCTCAATGATAAATAATAACCAGATTTGATTTTCTTGAACATTTATGTATTTGTTATTTTATTATAAATGATGACATCTGGTCACATTTTTTTTTGTCTTTAAAACGAGGTTGATTTCCATTTTATGTGGTTATACAAATAAAAGCTTAAATGTATTGCAACCTGAAGTTGAATGATAAAGGTACAATTAATTTTATTAAATTTAGAGCAGATATGAGAACATCACTTTAAGGCCCAACAGTTTTAACTCATTTCTGTTTTCTGCCTTAAATTTTTTTCTGATCTAAAATTTTGTTATAAGATGGAAGAAAATAAGGCTGGTCCTGTATTTATCTTATGGAACTTTATATTGCCATCACAATGCCTCAATCCAGGAGGGGAAAAAAAATGACCTGATGATTTTAACTTGTACAGATTAAAATAATCTAAAATTTTTTGAAGTAAATTTAATCCGCACTATCCTTATCAGAAACTAAATATTAACTAATTTGTTTATCCTTTGTAGAATACTTGAACCTAAATAAGATATGGACACTGGAAATTTACATTCTACTTCTGCCAGTAAATTTCTGTGTGCTTTATGACAAATTATGCTTTCAACAATATGTGAACCATTCGAGAAATTAAGGCTTATCATATTTTAAATTCAGAGTGGATAGTGATGGATATTCCCCCGCTCATTACATAGTTTGCTTTCTAGCCTTTAAGTACATTGAGCTATCTCAAAAAAAAAAAAAATCACATATAAATCAGAAAGATTCAGAAGTCATTTAGAGGCACATGGGGATCATGGACAAAACATATCCTTCTAAACATGTATTAATATTACACAACAGTGTTAGAATGCTTATCATTAAATGCAGACCTTAGGCAAAGTCATTTGAATTGTTTAATTCATTTGGTATAACTGTGGTGTGTTTGTTAAGAACATTTTATAATCACATTTTATGAATTTTATTTATTTTGAG